CACTAAATCCTTGATGATAACCCTTTGAAAGCGACCTGCGTCCAAGGGTTCTCCCACAGGGTTACCTTGGTCAGGAAATCGTTATAGGGTTGGATTCAAGGGCAGTACGAGGATCCCACTTCAGCCTACGTTTCAATCTACTCCTTCACCCCTTACTCACTCTTCGGCCTGAAGCAGTGGGGGATTGGGGGACTACACCGGCCTCAAGAATAAAAGGCAAAATCAAAAGAAATCCAGAAATACACCAAGTCCACAACTACAACATCAGACATGCACCACAACGTCCATAACATCATGGTGCATCTTCGGCCACAGCAAAGCTTGAGATCACAGGACACTTACCGGCCTTGAAACCACATCACTCAAGCCAGGAACCAAGAGAAAGGTCAACATACCTAAACTGCTTTCGTCCATGTACCGCAATGGCCCCGAGGTCCTCACAATTCCCTCTTCGGCCAAACAGTGCCATCAATCCCAAAACCTTGGGCAATATAACGCCTGGTCGTCCAAAAATGCAAGGCATCGTCAACAACGGCCAAAAGGAATGCGGAGTGCGCTCATCGGCCTCACCAGCCCAAAAGGGAAAACTTTACCTAGTCAACAACCAAGGACAGACACTACCTTCATCGGCCACCCGTGCCAGAACGCGCATCATCCAACAAACAAAGCGCGCCAAAGGAACAAGGGCCTTCCCCGGCCGCATCAGGAGGCAGGCAACGGCCAAACTCAAAACACAGGACTATCAAGCGCCGCGACAGGGAACGGCCAACGTGGTCCCGCATCGGCCAAGAAGTATCAAGCACAGAAATCTACTCTCCTTCACTTCGTCTACATCTCAGCTTAGAGAGTGGGGGACTCCTGATGGAGTATATGGGTCTAGGCCCCAGGACCCACATACTCAGAAGAACAGAAAGCACAGCCACCACGTGGTGCCCTCGTCGGCCAGAAGACCCTCGAAGGCCAAAGAGGGACCAACTCAGAATATGGTCCTGAAGCCAGGGAACCAGGGTGTCCTCGTCGGTTGCACCCTCGTCGGTCGTGCCCTCGTCGGCCAAGACCCTCGTCGGCCACGGAAGTCTCACAGAACCGGATTTTACACTTATTCGTTTGTACAGTCCACTAGTGGCTTTGTATTCGGCCCAATAGCAGTCCAGTTGTAAATGGGCCTCCCAAGCCCAAGGCTTGGGAGCCCAGCCCGTATTTTCCCTATAAATACTTCCTCTGGAGGTAGTTATCAGGGTTACAAAATCATTCTATTGAAGCATATAATGCACTTCTCTCTCCAGCTCTCACTTCTCTCTAGATATATACTCTATCACACTCCTAGCGGATAAAGTAAAGAATATTCCAGGTAATACACGTGTAACTCGCACGTGTACTCCGGTACTAGTTTGTTACATGCAATTCTAATCAGCCAACTATCTCATTTCTCTCTCCAATCACCCTTACACGTGTCAACACTCCTGACGGATAGTATATCCGGGGATACCGCTGAAGGGTATCTAGAGAGAAGTCAGAACAAGTAAGAGAGAGAGTAGGTGTATATTAAATGAACTCAAGAGTGTTCGATCGTTTACAATGGAAAAGTGGCTGTTATTTATAGCAGCCATAAATGCTAGGCGCATTTAATGCGAGTACACGTGTCAAGCAATCAATGGTGGCGGGTCAACTCAACCAGGGTGGCGCCAGCATAGCATGTGACACCGCATTTAATGCGGTGGTTGGATGTGACATCGCGTTTAATGCGGCAATCCAGAGCGTGCAGGGAGGAGATCTTGTCGGGGTAGTGTCAAAGGTTGTACGTACCCCGGAGGCCTTCAAGTGCCGAAGGTCGTACGTAGCCGGGGACCGTCATGTGCTGAAGGCCATACATACCCCGGGGCCCTTCTTGTGCCGAAGGCCGTACGTAGCCAGGGGATCGTCATGTGCGGGAGGCCGTACGTACCCCGAGGGCCTTCATGTATCGAAGGCCGTACGTCCCCGGAGACCGTCATGTGCCGAAGGCTGTACGTATCGGGGCCTTCATGTGTCGAAGGCCGTACCTACCAGGGGCCGTCATGTGCTGAAGGCTCTAACTGTTTCCTGGATATGGAGTCTTCGGTCATGGGGCCGAAGGCAGCACCTTGTTGTAGTATGGGCTGTTCGGAGTCTTGTTTGCTGTGTTTGGGCCACTTGGGCCTACTGGGCCTGTTCGTAGTAGTAGAAGTATGTGGGCCGGGAGTTCTTGGGGCATATACTCCATCAACTCCATTAGATTAGCCTGATTAGAATAACATTTTTTACTTGGACACTAAGTATTACCTTTTCAATATAAATATGACCTTCCAACATGTGGAAAGGGATCTGAAATTGAATACTCATGTTGTTACTCTGCAGAAATTCTTACTCGATCTTACTTGATCCTTTCCGATTTTCTCCCTTATTTTCCGGATTTCGGCTACCCCAAGGGTCGGGAGTCCATCAAGTTCAATTGCGTTAATTAAGTAAAAAAAAAGAATAAAAATAAAGAATTGCTCTAAATTGAAGTAAATTATAGATAATATAACAACAACATTCAAGTGTTATTCCCAAAAGATTTTGAGATCAGCTAACATGAATCAATCTATGATATCGGAGATGTAAAGGAAATAAAGATAAGGAAAATAAAAAAAGAGAGTGAGATAAAAATGATAAGAAAAAAATGAATATAAGATAAAAGGACATAAAAAGTAAAAATAACATAATAACATAGAAAAATAAAAAAGATAAAAAGAGAGAAAACAGGGAAAAGAGAACAATCCTCCATATGAATTTTCGCCTTCCAGTTTGCTCTCTACAAAATCATATATACGAGTACACACACATACAAACGAAGTATATATACTCACATCCAATTCAAAAAACCATATAAATTCTGGTTTCTTGAGTCCACGTCTGATGCCCCCCCCCCCCCCCCTCCCACTTCTTCTCCCCACCTCTCTACTTTTGTTACACCCGATCTTCCATGCTCTTGACTAGATCATCACAACTGAGACTCTTGCATCTTATCTTCTATAGATGTTACTCTCACTTTTGTCTAATTATGATTGTCTAATTCCTCAAATAGTCTATTAAAAGTAAAGTAATTGTGTTTTATACTTTTATTCTCACAATAGGATTCATTTAGTTTCTATAGAAGTACACAACTTCTCTAATAAAAAACGATGGACCAAATATGAAATAGAATGAGAACAATGATGAAAGAAGAGAATCTTTGCGGCTCATATGATCATGCCTACCTCCTCCGACTTCCATTGCAAGCAACACCCAATAGCACAAATATTTTTTAAAAAATCATGTGGTTGGTCTTTGAAAGGTGAAAATAAGCAACCAATGAAAAAAGCGCAAATAAAATAGAAGAAGAAATTAATAAATGAGTACTTTTATTTTCGGCACGAGACTTTAACATGGTCCCAAAATCTATCACATTCAGCTTCAGTGCAATGAACATGATTACTGTCCTACTCCATTTATATAATATCGGGAAATTACCCTAAACAAGAGTAAATGGGGTTTGAAATTTCAAAAAATACAATCGTTATGTTTTTCTTCCCGAAATAGGAGTGAATACTGCCATGTATGAAAAATACTGACATGATTGAAAATTACTGTCATTAATTACAATACATACTGCCATATAAAATGCACTGTACTACAAATATTTGGCAGTCACGTCTACAAGATGACAGTAAATAGTGAAATGTTAGTCCCATTTCGGGAATTAAAACATAGTAGTCCTATTTTGGAATTCCAAACTCCATTTACTCCTATTTTGGGAAATCTCCCTAATATATTCAGTATTAAACAAATATGAATAATCTCTTTAATTTGCTCTATTTTTTATTTAGCTAAACATAAAATTTAAGAGTAGATTAGACATTTCTTGAGTTGGCCCCAAAAAAATGTAGGCAATGCATGAAAAAATAGATTTCATACAAAAGTACAAAACCGATATTAAAAGAAATACACCTCCATCATTTTGAGGTGGACTAAAAAGAAAAATTAAAGGAGCGGATGGAAATGTAACTAGAACAAGAAGCCGGCAAAAAGTAATAATTAGCATACCATTTTTGTGTTTGATGGATCATACGTTTGATGAAAAAACAGAAAGGGAGACAAGATGGGCTGTGTGGGGAGGAATGTCATAATCATCCCTTGTTATCTAAACCCTTGGCATGTCATTTTCAAGTTTAGTTACCCCTCGCCGTCTTCTTAGCCATCTAAAAAAATGAATTGATGTTGCTCATCCTCTAAGGTTCGGGTGGGAGGTAGGGGATGCTTTAGGTTAATTTTTCAAATAAAGTAAACAAAAAAATTCAGAGATTCTATCGTAATAATAATATGAATGGAGAGTGTTCATAACAACAATCTGAACTAGCAATAATGTTTATATGAATAAAATTGGTTGTTGCTTCATACACCGTCACAATTGCTTAACGTAATCATGAGCGGACAAATTTGTCCTTCTTAATTATTAATTAAATTAATTATAATTAAATGTAAATAAAAAAAATGCTTCCCGCACCCTAAGGTCTCCATGCTCGGCTGATGGGCTCTATCATGTTCTACAATTTTACATTAAATGTACATCCAATAAAATGATGCCATGTGGCAAGTATTTTTTTTAAATGTCACAACTTTTTCATTTTTGCTCTGGTTTTTATAAAAATTATACCAAATTAAATATCTTTTTATGATCTTTCATATGACACCCATATTATATATGTATTTTTTTTAAAAAAATCTGGTCAAGTCTAGTCAGATCTGATCCTATTTGTTTGAATCTATGTGGTTCGAAATCAGTTCAATTAAAAACATCCTAAATATCACGCACATCATAAATCTAGTCATGTAACATGGTGTGATTGAGTTTTAAAAGGCGGGGCCCTCCACCTTTGAAATTAGTCAAACAAAAAAATGAAGATAATTAGTTTACTAGAATTAAAAATGTTACTTATTCAAATCTATAATCTACTATAGAACTCCCAAAAAAATCTAATATAGAATTGTGCAAAGTAAAAAACAAAACATTTGTGTTTTTATAATATATAAGGTTTATATCAATCATCCAATACAATTGGAACATGGTCTCTTACAACATTACGACATTCTATAAATTGTTTAATTCGATGAAGAAGTGGAGTATCCCATCCTGTAACACTAGCGTCCTGATAGTAAGACCATGTCGTAATGACTGGTGGCAACGGAGCATTGTCGTCAAGCCAAACCTGTGTATCAACAAAAGTTTTCATTTTATGCATATCATATGGTAATATGAATATAAAAAAGGTAATGTGAAAACAAAATGGAACTATAAAATATTGTTTGCTTACATCTATGTAGTGCTGTTGGGAATCAAGCCAAGCAATGCAAACAGTTGTCTTCGGAGGACTACTACACGGGGAGCGATCATGGGCAAACAAGTGGCTGGTTCGTGGAGGTCAAAATGCACTAAAATAACCTGGTATAACGTTGCAAAGATCAACCCTGTGTGCGACATGTGTATCCAATACTTGGGTGGTGCGGGACTGATGTAGTAGTCTATTTGCTCCCGCAATTCATCAATAGTGTCAAGAAGGCATATAGGATTATATAGCTCACGATGACGATCGAGTTCTTCCACTAACTCCCTTCGAACTCTAACCCATTCTTTTTCTCCCCATCCTAAAAGCTCTGCAAATGAGCGATATCCGCAATGTCCATCTCCAATAACGTCCACAACTTTACTAATATGCTTAAGCATGAATGTCTCAACATCATTACTGAAATTAAATTGCATTCGATTTTGACGTGTGTGAGATTTCCTTTTAATATCCTTGCCACATCCACGAGACCCATGATGTGATATTGTACCCTTGGATTTTTTGTATTTTTTCTCAATGTACTCCCATGCACTTGGGTCTCGAGTGGTTGATTTTTTTTGGGCCTTCCCTTCGTTTCATGAATCGGTGGCTCTTTCATAACATTAAGTTTTGGATTCCTCATCTCATTCCATTTTGCAATAAGTCTTTTTTTTCTTGTGCTGACATACGGCCTGATTGAAACTCATCAACTATGGTTTTTAGGACCACATCATCAACACTTATATCATCGGCCTTGTCATTGTCTTGTTCCTTATTTACATGCCATTCAACTCTTCTCCAAAATTCATGTACCATTGATGGATGTAGTGGACGATTATCGTGAATACAAGTTGCTAGCTCGTGTGGACATGGTAAACCATAACATTCCCTCCACCAATAGTCATTGCATATTGGATCGTAATTTCATGCTATGACCTCATCATGCATCCTTATTAACTTATTCATGCACTCATTTGACACCATGTGTTGAAGCTGGCTAAGTATTGGAATCTTATCCAATACCATTGGAATGGTGCAACATGACAATTCTAAAGATCGCCTCACTTCATCCAATTGATCATTCAGCAAGTTATTTATCTCAACAAAAACATTGTCAAACCCCTTAATGGATGAGCCTAATTGTAGCTTTAACGTTGCATGTGCAGATTCCACCCTGCGGCACAAAGTTAATGAAATAAAATAAATAAAATTGTTCATAATTTTTTATAAATATATTTATTTACCTGTTAGTAGTCCTTGTGCCAAAATGTGTGACATGGTCCGTCCACACGCTAACTAAACGATCTTTGTACGGGTCCAACCAATATTCAGTAAGATACCTCATAAGGCCCCAATTGTTCTTCCATTTCGATCTCATATATTTTAATTGCTCCTCATATTGATCGACAATGGTTGAACTAAATAGCTTCATGCATCCTTTTGAAAAGGATAGTTGGATCGTCTTCATATTGCTCAATTTTAAAGCTTTATCTTCTATGTTACGCTTGACATGTACCATGCACAATATATGTTTAGATTCTCGGAAGACTTCACTGAGTGCTTTTATTAAACCTAACTCTCGGTCAGTCACAATCGCTAATGGGGAACAAGGACATATTAGCTTTAACTCATTTAAAACTCAAATGTAGTGCTCTGCGCTTTCAGCTCCCATCCACGCAAATGCAACAGAGAATGTCTTCAACGTACTTGTGAATTCCACTATTTCCAGAAAAGACATCTTGTACCTGTTATAATTAATCAAGTATATTACATGCAATTTATATCATTTGCTTGAATGAATAGTCATAAGGGTTAATTACCTAAATAGGAGTAAAAAGTAATCAATAATCACAATCATGGCTCCATTGTTTTTTAACTCACAAGTAGGACTAATTATGTGTATTTGGATAAGTATACCCTTATAACTATTTGAATGTTTTAATTCATAGTAAAATCATATTAAATTATAAAAATCGTAAAAAATTAATTAAAATATTTACAAAAAATTTAAAAAATCATAAAAAATTACAAATATTTTTATTAATTATTAATTTTTTCCTACGATTTTTTTTTTTTTTGTTTTATTTTATTATGAATTAAAATATTTAATAATGAATCTTGACTACTTTCTACTCCTATTTAAAGGAGTGGTAAGAATGGAATGAAAAAGTACGTATGTTTTCAAATAGGAGCAATATGGTCCTATTTTGAAATAAAAATATAAGAAGTCCTATTTTTTTCTACCCTAGTTTTACTCTTACTTGGGGTAATTTCTATAGTTATAACTTAAAACAAAATATTTTAAAAAAATATTTTACCTGTTTGTCTTGTATGTTGTGTCCATGATGAGAACATAAGGAAAAAGTCGCAATAATTTTAGTGAATCTCGATGCGCGAATATCATGTCATGTAAATCTTCACTCCCTGGCACTAATCTATTGGCCTCAAAGTAATCATACTTTGAAATCAAATGAATTAATTGTTGCATCCATCCATTCCTTCTTAAGCTTGCGTCTTGCGTTGTACACCTGCTTTCTGGATGTAACATTTTCAGAGTTCGCAATTTTTAAACTTTGGAGAATTGGCTTAGGCTTGCATCCCGCCTCGGATAAGTCTCTCACCAAAGAAATCTCTTGCTTTGTCAATTTACCAGCAAATGTGTGCCCCACTAAGCTCGTTGGAATAACATGATTGTGAAATCCACAATTAACCTGCAATCGTCATAAATTCTGTTTCACTTCACTCCCATATAATGCAAAAGGGCAATCCACAAAAGAATGACATACACGTCACTGTCATCCTACATATATCATATTTTTGAAAAAGCAAAAAAAAAATGAGATACATGTATTACAAGCAAAATATGATTTGTCGAGTTGCAAGGCACATTTTTTTAAATAACCCCGAAAAATCTAGACATTCATAAGATGAGACTGAAACGAGTTCAACTGAAAATATCAGTTACACTATACAAGTTTAAAAATGATCAAAAAATTAATTATGCCTATTTATATATAAAATTTTGGATAAATAAAAAATATATTAAACTAACATTCTAAATTATAATGCAGGAGTCGTTAATTTATACAAAAGACAATTTGAAGTGTACTTATTAGTTTGACAAAAATTAATTATTGGGTGACATTAATTTTAATTATTATAATACAAATAAGGATGTTTTTAATTGAATTAAAATTTACTAGTCTAGTCTAATCTGGTATATATTTTTCTTACCTGTTCTAGTAAGTTTGGTCTAGTCTAGTCTGAACTGGTTTGTCCTATTAGATGTATGTTTATGCGCGGATATTTTTTCTATATGTGTTTTATACAACTGTTGAAATTTGATTTGGTTTGATTGGAATAAAAAACATCTCAATTTAACAATTACAATTTGTAGTGTACATATTAGTTTGACAAAAAATAATTATTGGGTGACATTAATCTATATATTATTAAAAACAGAATAGTGCAGCAAGAGTTTTGAGCGGGAACTGCAGTACACGTTTGATAGTTATTGTTATAATGGCTTCTAGATTATTCCTATTAATAATTGCGTGGATTAATAATGCTGACATGATTTCTAACTTCCCTATGCAAAATTAAATATGAAGGAGAGGAGGCTGTTCGGTTTTTTATGCTCCAACTTCTCGATGATGCTGCAAACGAATTGCAACATTAATAAAATACAAGTGGAATCTTCTAGATTACTCTTATTAAATTAGACATTAAATATGCTGGCATTAATTGTGTTAGCTTGGTCGTCTATCTTCCCTAAATTGTGATTTAGGGACTGTTCAAATACCACTTTAAATAATTCGGCTTACTAAACAATGCCTAGATAACATTTCCAATTGAAATACATTTAATTACAAAAACTAGAATTCTTTACAACTATTGGGCGGAAAGCGGGCAACTGAAATTAATGCCTTCACAATCTACTAAGCGACTGCTGTATTTTGATGGGATCACCTGTTGCTGTGCGTATAAAAGGGGTTCCTTACAAAGCAAATTCATCACAAACGATTCATCCACCAAGAAATTCCTTAGTAGCAGAACACCTGCAAAAAGAGTACCGAGTACATTAATGCAAGGGGATCTGGTAATAACACTTTTAGTCATGTATAAAATGAGCTCAATTCCTTTTTTTCTCCTGTAATGCTTGCAAATATAAAATGAGCTCAATTCCTTTTTTTCTCCTGTAATGCTTGCAAATAAAGTAGGCATCCTTGAGTTTCTTCGAGAATGTATGAAAACATCTCTCACTCTTTCATCTGTTTGTACAAGCTAGAGATATTTGGTAAAAATATTGTCTGTAGTGCTAGCAAATACAATGAATGAGTCCGTTTGGTAACACTACAATTGGCTGAATTGGTTGATTCTGTTGAAATTTATGAAGTTCTGGTTGAAGTGGATGTATTGGCGGATTCAGCTGATTAATGAAAAAATTACAAGTAAAATATTTGTTAATAATAAATTAAATAAAAAATTATATGAAAAAATAGCTAAAATGATCCTCTACCATAACTTCAGCCAATACAGCCACAAAAGTAACTTCAACCTTACTTTTTCTGCTTATTACAAATTTCAGCGCGCGAGTTCAAAAGTTACGTGTGTTTGGTGAAAAAGCTGGTTGGTAAGTGTGATAAGCCGAAAAAGGGGGTCACCAAACGAGATCAATATGTATCCTTGAGTTTCTTCGAGAATGTTGAAAACCTTTATCACCTATTTATACTTATGTTCAAGCTAGGGTTCACCGATTAAGGTAAAATATGATTAATACTTTTTTAGCTGAAGAATTACTTTTATAGTTTCATATATTTTGTTCTCATCAAACAATCTCTTAATATCGATTGCATTGTTATCACCTAACACTATTTTTAGTTAAAATCTTATTCTTTTCCTTGGTGTTTTCTCTTCAAACACAGAAGAAACTAAGTTAAATAACTATCACCTGCATATGTTGCTCTAGATAACAGTGACATTTTTATTTTCGCAATCGCATCTCTAATCGTGTGAGCATAATGAGCATGTGAATTTTACCATATCTAAAATAAGAATTAGCTGCTCAATATTTTATCAGGTTTTACACAATAAAGTGACACCTTAAGCTTTTAAAGTCATAGTATGGTTTGTAAAAACAGTGATGTTAAAATGGACGTCAACTGTCCCAATTTTTGTTTTGTGCGGCTCATGATGTATTTATGGTATCGTTTGAAACATTAGTTTGGGCCATCAAGAAAGCTTTTAATCATGAAAAAATACACCAAAACAAGAAATCGTGGTCATGTAAGTAGTATATATGTCAACTTTTAATATTAAATATTGTATATATTTCATTGTAGCATTTTAACAAACACCAAATAGGCATAAATATGAAATACACTACATAGAGAAAAACTTTAATCGTGTACGCCAAATATACATAACAATGAAAAATATATACATCCCCACCATAAATTAAACAAATGCCAGAAAAAAAGTTAAAGAAATAACAAAAAGGAGTTATAACCTCAGGTGGTAGTTTCTGAATGAAAGAGGTAGCTAAGCATGATGGGGCGGTGGTAGCTTTGTCAACAGTCATTTCCGGCGGTAGTTGTTCCTAAGCACTAATTAGCAGCGGCTGCTTAGCAGGCGCTTCACCTATGTTTTGTGGTGAAATGTAGCTATGAACAAAAGTGGTGAAAGATGGGAAGAGGTTCATGTTCTGATTAGGAGAGTTCTGGAAGGAATAATGGATCAAATATTAACAATGGCTGGACGCGTGGAGTACAATTTTGTCATTTGTTACCTTCCCATCCCTTTTTATCTTTAAATTAATGTATTTTTTTTATTTATTGTCCAAATTTTATAATACAATTATATCAGATTTTTACTTTAAGATTTTTCCACGTATTAATATTGTATATAAAAAAGTTGGACAAAAAATGATTATTTGTAAATATTCATTTCTAGCTGGCTTTTTGTATATCCAATATTGGTAGTTTGATACTATATGAAAGATCTTAAAAAAATAAAAAATTTGATATATTTTTTTTAAAAAAATTGGATTAAAAATGACAACATTAAAAAAATTGCCAAATTATGAAGAATTGCCTTGCCACATTGCAAGCAATTGGGGTGGGGTGAACATCACTCTCTTCTTTTGAGAGGGTGAACAAATCTGATTTCGGTCACTTGAGGCTTGATATATTGGAACAAAAATGCTTTTATAGTGTTTTTTACTCCCTCTTCCCGCTAAGATTCTCTTCATTTTTCTTTATGATCTGTCTTATTAATATTGTCTCATATCTAATTTGGTAAAGTTCGTGTTGTTATAAATGATTCTTACTTTATTGATTTATCGACCACATAAACTCACTATTTTTAATAACTGTACTACTATATACTGAAATCTAAACAAAAAATGATATATATTAATTACATTTTCATTGAATAAACTAAATAAAATATAGCAATGTAGATATATTATGAATAAAGTACTTCCAAGATTTCTCTTAAGAAATTAACATGAATTAGAATTTAAGTTACCATGTACATTATAGATTTTATTTTTTATTATATTATCTCCAATATTTTTATAAATAATATGAACGACATATATCTATTATTGAATTTCATTCAACACATCTAACTAGCAATTTCCTATATTCATTTTCTAACAATAATCTTCAATCTTGTAATGAACACAAATATAGTTGAATATTATTTTTTAAAAGAAAATAAGGAAACCAAACAAACAAGGAGAAAACTTCCCTATTATATAAATATATATGCACATGATAACTTAATTTATAAATTAAATATAAATACATAACTTTAATTTAAAAAAAGTAAGAATTCTGACTTGAGATTTCGAGTTTGGAGCTGATGAAGAAAACATGTGGAGTGAGATGTGAGGATAAGGATTGTGTGGAGTTAGGATTGGTTCGTAAGAGTATTTAATTTAGTGAATTAGTGGCGGATATTAGTGGCGGACAGATTTCCGTCATTGTTTAGTGACTGTTATCACTGGCGAAATATTCACCACTAAATACCGGCGGACACACGCCCCCATTAAATTTCGTCACCAAATGCTTGCGGACTTATTTCCGCCATAAAAATCCGTCACTGATTAGCGAAATTCTTATAGTGGAGTAATAATAGATCATGAATGTACAAAAGACTAGAGAAACGAGGATGTCTAAATGATGATTTCAAGGAAGGTGTCAATGAGTTCATTCAGACAACGATAAATTTATATTCCAACGGTGTCATTGCATGTCCCTGTAGAAAGTGTAAAAATCGAAAATGGTTGACTTGGGATATTGTTAAGCAACACCTATTTGAGAAAGGTTTTATCGATGACTATTATGTATGGGCAGCACATGGAGAGACACCCAATTCAAATGGTCTGGTTTATTTTGATCTAGCTAACTCCTCGTATTGTAATGCATCTGAGGTCCAATATGATCCATACAAATCGATGTTTGAGGATGCAGTGAGGAATGAATTCCCAACAGAAAATCAAGGCGATTTTCTTGTGAATGATGAGCCTAGTGCAGCAGCAAAGAAGATGTATGAGATGCTAGATATGACAACTCAACCATGCTTTGAGGGTTGTCCAATGAGTGAGTTGAGCGCAATGACTGAAATGTTGAACATAAAGACTGAGATGAATCTATTAGAGGCTTTTACAGACAGGATTGCTCAATTTGTGAATAGATTTTTCCCAACTAAAATCCCCAATAGACCTATACCAAATTTCAACAAAATAAAAAGGAAGCTATCATTGTTGGGAATGATAAGCCAGTCTATTGATTGTTGCCCAAAAGGATGCATGATATATTGGGAAGGAGACATTGAGCTAATGGAGTGCAAGTTTTGCGGTGGTGCAAGATACAGGATCAATAAGCAAACAAAAAAACCAATTCCACTTGCAAAAATGGAGTACTTCCCACTTACTCCTAGACTACAAAGGCTTTATGCATCAGATACTACCTCGGAGAAAATGAGATGGCACAAAGTTCACCATAGAGAAGAAAGAGTGATGCATCATCCATCAGATGCAAAGGCGTGGATTCATTTTGACAATCTCCATCCACATTTTGCTGAAGACCCGAGAAATGTTAGGCTTGGTTTATGCAGTGATGGGTTCCAGCCATTTGGACAATTTGGTCAGAAATACTCTTGTTGGCCTATCATAGTGACACCATACAACTTACCACCAGGTATGTGTATGAAACAACAATTTTTATTTTTGTCTATATTGGTACCTGGACCAAGAAATCCCACAAAGGGGATAGATGTGTATTTGCAACCATTGATAAAAGAGTTGAAACAACTGTGGGATGTTGGGGTTGTAACGTATGATGCATTCTCAAGGGAAAATTTCAATATGCGAGCTATGTTGCTATGGACAATAAGTGATTTTCCCGCATATGCCATGCTTTCTGGATGGAGTACAAAGGGAAAATATGCATGTCCATGTTGTACCAAGTTTCCTACGAGGTGATCATCCATTTCGGTTTGATAATGATGAGGTCGGTTCCTTGATGCCCGTGACTGAACTAGGAGGTATTGAGCATAATAAAATAGCTGGAAGAGATATTGGATGGAAGAAACGTAGTATATTAGAGAAGAATTTCTTTGAGAATATGTTCTATACAATTTTGGGGGTGCCAGGAAAATCGAAGGACCATGCTAAAGGGAGAATGGATATGGAACAAATTTGCCATAGGCCGAGTATCGAGAGGGACAGTCACGGAAAATTCCCGAAAGCTCCTTTTACTCTTTCAAGTGAGCAAATGACAGTGTTATGCAATTGGGTTGATTCACTGAAGTTCCTTGACGGCTTTGCATCTCGATTAGGGCGTTGCATAGATATAGAAAAACTTAAAGTGTTTGGCATGAAGAGTCATGATTGTCATGTGTTTATGAAACGTTTAATTCCGATTTCTTTTAGAGAGATGTTACCTGCTTCGATTTGAGAGGCAATCACAGAAATTAGCTTATTCTTTCGTGAGTTAACAAGAAAGAATATCACTGTTTCCGACATGGAGAAGCTAAAGGCAGATATTCCCATTATTCTATGCAAGTTGGAGAAGATTTTCCCACCGTCATTCTTTGACCCTAGTGAGCATCTTGTTGTACATTTACCAGATGAAGCTTTGTGGGGTGGACATGTACATTAAATGTATGTGCTGAGTTATATGAAAATATGCGCTGAAACAGGGGCGGATGTATGATATATTCAATGGGGGCACATGCCCCCAATGAGATTCAAGTAAGTAGTTTAGAAACCTGCTTTTTTATTAAGTGCAAATGGAGGTGCCCTGATGAGAATCCTGGGAAGAGGGATGCTGAAATGCCATGGAAAAACTACCGGATTCTGGCAGCCTAAAAATGTTGTTTGAATCTATCTACAACTTTGCACTATGTTTTTGTTTTTATCTATTTTATGTATTTAATATGGGGTAATGATGATGATGACTACTATCAAGATTTTGCAGATTCTTTTTAGTCTACAATTTTCTATTTTCAAAGGCATTTTTACTTTGTAATCCAGAATTCTCTCCATATTTTTTGAAAAGTTTATGAATATTTCATTTTTTCACAGGTCTTTTCTTTGAACAGTTAGTATGTCTACATTTAGAGGACTTGGAGCTGCTGTCGGCCAGAAGAAGAAATCAGACCATTCAACCCAAGAGGTATCACACAATTCTAACCATTCTAACCGCTCAATACCATCTCTGTCCGCTTCTTTACTTGGAAGAAACTCAACTCCCTTCACAACACCATCCTTTCCCCACTCAACACCACTTCAATCCTCTAACATGTTTGGCACAAAAATCACCAAACAAATAGGACAAACAAGGCAGCCTCCACAACCACCTCCTTCACAATATACTCTTTTTCGGGACCGTAGGCAAAATGGCACACCGTTAAATAACGACCAACCAATTATTTCTCAATCACGAAACCACCAACACGCCACTCCAACATCTTCTGAACCGCAACACCAAGATGATGTAGAAGACAATGAAGATATAGAAACTGAGCTCATTGATCGGAAACCCAATACGTACGGTCATCTTAATTGGGGTGAAGAGCCATTAGACCCTTTCAAATCTCTTTCATTGGCAAAATTTGAAAGACCCAACGTCGGTGTAAATGCCGCAGGAAAGTAAGTGTAATATTAACTATTATTTATGTGTATACATTATTCTATAATGTTACTATACAATTACTAATAAATAATGTATACTTTATATGCAGCCTAATCAACATATCTGTTAGCAAAACAAGTCTAAATTTTCAAGGAATTGTCTCAAAACAAATCAAGTATAATCTTCATCCAGCTGGACAGCAATGTAAATGGGTCCCTGATAAAACTAAACAGCTATATTGGGAACCATTCCAGGTACGTGTGGTTAATATGAGTTGTTTTAGAATATATGGTACATGTTTTCAAGTGTTTTCAAGTGTTTTTGTCATACCTTTTCTGGAGTTAAAAACTTCATTTTAACTCAAAAGCACCTATATTCTTTACGAAACGAGTTTTGTATGTCTGGGTTTTACCTTGACAAATATGAAGCAAAATAAAATTGGAGTTGCTGTCAATCCAATCTTCATGTGTATATGAACAACCTTTTATGCTAGAGTGGCAGAGTCTCACACCCATAAATAAAGAGAGCAATGGTGAGAAGTAAAAAACAAGTGATACTTTGTAGGTTAAAAAGGTTGTGCACTTGATTGAGTTGAATGTGTTACTGACCCAATTGAGGTGGATGTTTAACTTAATTGGATTGAATGTTTAACTTAAATTTGAATTTTAATTTGATTGTATATAGGATGTAGTCACTTGGAATATTTCTGAGTTCAAACTTAAAGATATTAAGGAAGGTTATGAAAACTATTTGCAGAATCGTGCTTACTCCAATATCATGGATGATATCAGGTGAGCATAATGAATAATATTTATTTTTACTAGTCAATTTATTTAATTAACTTGGAATATAATGGTTATCCTTGTTACACTTGAAGGAAAAAACGGCCTGTAACAGTGAATGACTTCACTTGGGCTGCTGTTGAAGAGTATAAGAGGTCTACGCAATTTCAGAGGGCATCTGCTTCTGGTAAGAGAAATCGTATTGTCGGTGGGGACAAATGCAAACAATACGGGGGTTCTCGAGCTGCGGTTGATGGGGCAGCCCAAGAGGTGAATTTAAAATTTATTTTGATATATGTCTCAAATTTTAGGAGATTCATTGGATGATGTTTTTGCATTTTGTTTTAGTTGAGGATTACCGGTAAACATATAAATCCTGTGAAACTTTGTGAGACCTTCCATCCAAAGAAAAGGAAGAATGGAGAGCTAATTGATGATTCTTCACAACCGAAAGTTATGGTATGTAATTACTTTTCTGCTTCTTGGGTCTCTATATTTTACATTTATAAATATTTTAATTTATTTAATTTAAATATATACCCATATAACAATCTGCCCTAAACCCTACTCTCAAATAGAAAGTTTATAAATATGGGTATTGTTTTCTGTTTTTAGCCTATGTACTGAGTGTGTAAATGCATTTAATATAAGGGCCGCTTTTTGTTATTTTAACGTACCCCTTCTTTGTGTGTGTAAATGCATTGTATATACTTGGAGTGTTTTCTAATGGCGAATTCAACTGACTGTGAGGATTTTAATTGTGAAGTGTATGATTTTAGTTCTTTTTTCTGATTTTGATGTTGACGATTCATGATTTTAATTGTGAAGTGTATGATTTTATTTAGAGAGTATCAAATGTTTGAGTGACTTGCATCATTTTGTTTGCACAGGAGGTTATTAGCAAGCTGTCTAGTACATTCCATGAAGCTGAAAGTGAACATCAATCACTAGAAGATGAAATTTCTATGACATCAAAAGCTGTAAATTCTGAATTGCATTTCAAGTATTTTGATGTGGTTGGGTACAACAAGAAAAGAGTTTTGGGAACGGGAAGGTATTCCAAAGCATTTCTTCTCCAATTAGAGTCAAATCATAAAGGATCTTCATCAAAACGCTTGCATGATTTTTGTGTTGCTTGGGATGAGCATATGAGAAAATGGTTGTCTTCGCATGGTCATGAGGCTCCACCGGTTATGCCTCTTGTGGATGAAAGTTTGACAAATAAGAATCCCGAGTTACAACCTAAGAGTTTTGAAGAAACATGGCTTCCGTTCTTCAAGTCATATGGAATTGACGCTCCAAACTTCTTTCCACAACAAGATTTATCCTCTCAAGGCTCTCAACAGTCACATGGAGACGACTCTTTATCCAATTAGATGCATAGCTTTATTTTTGAAATGGCTTAAACATTTTAAACCACATTAATGTGGTGATATGTATGGTTTTTGGATTTAATATTGAACACTAGATACTAATAGTGATTTGGATGCTTTTTTGGATTTAGCATGGTTAGGGTTTTAGTAGTGACCTCGAATCTAATGTAAACTCTATGCTATTATAATACACGCAGTATTAGTTTTTGGCAATATTTGATTTTAATTATATTTAATGTTTTAAAATTATTTTTTCACGCTTTGATTTGATAAATTAATATGAACAGTTTTTGGTAGTCATACATAAATAATAATTGAATTGAGAGCAAATCATAAATGAAGAATATTTTTTTGTAAAAAAAATTAATTACTGGCGACCAATAGTGACAGATATTCCGCCACTAAAATCGCTGGCGGAACTATCCGCCACAAAAGTCCGCTTCTAATCACTGACGGATTTGACAATCCGCCACCAAACAATTTTACTTCGAGAATTTAATGGCGGACAATCCGTCAGTGATTTCCGTCACCAAGAATGTCTGTGGCGGATTTAGCGACGGATATACCACCACTAAATCGCGAGATTTCTTGTAGTGTATGGGTTTGCGACGGTTCAAAACTGGACCAGACCAAACTAGATCAGAACCTATTTTGCAAAAAATAGACATCGAAAATCAGACCGGATATATTCTGATTTTGATTTGGAACCGAATCGGTTTAACCGGTTCAAAATCGGAACCGGACCGGAAGACCGATTTATAAGACCTATTTAACTAAAAAATGCAACTAATTTGTTTAATAAAAATAAGGTATTTGTTACTAATAATATTAATAATACTATTATTTATTTATTTCTTTATTTTTATTAGTCTTAGAAAGCAAAGATTGAAGCAATTTGAGAGTAGAATATAGTAAACATTAGTTAATTATATTACCAAGAAATTAAGAATAATAAAAGAATAAAACATTAGAACTTCATGGACTCATAGAGAAGTTATATATGACTCCTTAAAATATCTCTATTATCACATTTCTATTTATTTCAATGTATCACACAATGATATGTTAGAGGTAATTACCCGTGCATCGCATGGGTATTATACTAGTTTATTATTATAATACAAAAAAGGAAAATGTAACAAACTTTTAAATTCAAATAAAAAGAAAAGTGTAGCGAAGTTTAAAATACGTAGGGAGTAGTATGTTTTTCATTATTATTATCATCATATCATTATAATGTGAATGAGAAGTGTTAATGTAGTTTCATCAACTACTGTAGAACAAGTCTCTACGTAATAAATTTTCGACATTTGAAAAAAAAACCTTACGATTTCATTTTTCTCATTAGGCGGTAAGTGCGATTGAATTTCGGTATACATTTCCACACTTGTCCCAGTATACCGATTTTCCGGTATTTTTGCCCACCCCAAACTATGTCACTTTCTTTGTGGCATTAGGCAACTGATTTGCAACACTCTGTAAATGTGTTATCTTTTGCACTTCATGCTAAGTTCAATATATATAAAAGTGCAAATGGACGTCTTCTCGATTGAATATATATAATTTCTAAATGGATGGCATGTAAACGATCAACAACAATTTACTTCCTGCCTTTTGACGTCTTTTAAAACACTGTTGGTATGCTACTAAAATAGGGAAGACATATGTTTGGTATTCAATAAACTCTTTACCTGGAGATATATTTTAATTGTATATTAAACCGTGTATATAATAGCCATCTTAATTACCATTATTAATGGTATAAACGTCAAGGAAATCTTAATTTCTATCATCTTCATCATAAGAAAAACCAAAGAATGAAGAATGTTCATTTGTAAATGATACTACCCCGTCCCGCTATGATTGTCTCGTTTTACCTTATCGGTCCGTCCTATTAAGATTGTCCCATACCAAATTTGGCAAAGTTTGTGTGGCTCTAAATCATTCTTACTTTATTCTTACTTTATCAATTCATTATCAACCACATAAACTTGTTTTTATTAATTTGTGTGTCACTCTCTCTTGTCTCATTGTTAGCGTGACGGAGGGAGTATTAATTAGTCTGTTTCTTACAAGTACCGAATATGTGCTTCGAACACAATCTTATGTCATATACTCAACTTTTATAAAATTTTGCACAAATATTTCAAATTGTTTTATGAACAAATTCAATTACATTTGTCATCCGTGCAATGCATGGGCCGTTGACGGGTTAAGATAACTTTTAGGCGATGGAATACAAAAAAATATTTACTAATAGAAAGTTAATATAAAGCCATAAATACCCTTGATGTTGCAGCTATTATAAGTTGCTAATCAACCATGACAAATAAAATTGAAATTTTTATTTTTTATATTTGAGTGTGGTCTGGTTGAGTCTGGTCTGGTTTGGTGTTATCTGAAAAGTGTACAAATAAAAACATTCAAAGTGACCTTGTGTATGTGTCCGTATGTACATGGTGAAGAATTGGGGTGAGAGCGGCAATCTAAAATCCCAATATGCCCCTTTGTGTAAGGCCTAAATAAAGATGAATTTCATCATACACTACACCAATTCAATTTTATATTTATTTTCCCATTCTTTTTATTTTCATAAATATATCTTAACTTGATTCATTCTTCGTATTAAAATAAAAGTAAAGGGTTTAGCCCTACATGATCTGTCATAAAGGATTGACCTTTTTGTTGCATAATGGGTTAAGTTGTCTTGTCATGTAAGAAGTGCACTAAAACACATGCATAAATCTACTACTGCTGCGTGATTATAAGCAAAAGGATATATATTATGCGTTCTTGATCTTGACATAAATTGATCATCAAATGTATATGATGATTGATCATATGATTATTGGGTTGAAATTTTTGGCCATCACATAAACGGTATACTGTTACGTTGGTGTGTGGGGAACGCAGAACAAGTTAAACAAATAGCTTTAGCAGTCCCACAAACCGCCCAAATTTTAGATCAAATTATAAGCCCACGTACTTGCTTGGTTTCCACTCTAACTTGCTAATTGGTCCAAGCAAGAAATACCCCACCGCCTCACCTCAACTAATTAAATAACAATATACTCCCTCCGTTTCATGAAAAAACTCACACTTTCCTTTTTGAAATGTTTCAAAAACAAAGTCACACTTCCCTTATTTCCTTATTTGGCAAAGAAATCTACATCCAAACAGTGCCAAAATAGTGCGAAACAGTGTCAAACAGTGTCCAAACAGTGCCAAACAGTGTTTAAACAGTGTTTTCTAAAGTAAAGTCAATTTATTTCCTTAATAATCGTGAAGTCAAACTGTGACTTTCTTTTGGAAACGGAGGGAGTAAATATATAGGTAAATTGAGTAAGGATTTGGTCAAACGCGTTTGAGAGCCTTCTCAATAGAATATTTTAATAAAAAACGTACAACATTTATACAAAATTTCAGCTTAGGATTTAATCGAAAAGCCAGTTGAATAAATTATTGAAAACATGACGCTTTATGTATTTCAAGAATTATTGAAAAACATGACGTTTAATGTATTTCAATATACATAAAGCATAGAAAATTCACACAAAATTTCATCTCAAAATTCAACCGGAAAACAGTTAAATAAATTATTGAAAACATGATGCTTTTAAGTATTTTTCAATAATTTATTTAATGACTTTCAGATTGGATTTTAAGCCGAAATTATGTACGAATGTTTTACACTTAATGAAGAACATATTCACAAATGTTTATTAAAATATTCGACAAGAAAAGCCTTCAAATGGTCATAACTCATAACAGGACTGACCAGATCATTTCTCTTGATAAATAAATTAAACTGTTCCACAATAATTGCATATTAAAATACAAATCAATAATGGAAGCTCCAAGACTTAATTAAATACTGATATATATGGACAGCATAATGAAACATGACATCAAGATTGTTGCTGAAAATGTAATTGCACATCTGGAATACTCCCTCCGTTCCTAAATAAACTTCCAACTTTCCTTTTTCGTCCGTTCCAATTAAAACTTCCACTTTCCCTTTTTGATAAAGAATTTGTGGTTCACGACATTTCTTACACATTTCTCTCTTTCGCATAACTCTCCACCA